CCCCTGATTGCTGCTGCTCTGTGAGTGACAGGGGGCAGCGCCCCAACCCCCTGATCAGCCCTGCTCTGTTCGTGACAGGGGGTGGCGCCCCAACCCAATTGACCCACTCCCCAATCGGCCCTGCTATGAGCCTGACCAGGGGCTGCACCTAGGGATTGGGCGTGCCCTCTGCCACCCGGGAGCAGGCCTAAGTCAGCAGGTCGTTATCTCCCGAGGGGTCCCTGACTGCGAGAGGGCACAGGCCGGGCTGGGGGACCCCCCTCCCCCCCCCTCAGTGCACAAATTTTTGTGCACCAGGCCTCTAGTTCAATATAATAATTATAGGTCTAGTCAAGTTGTCATTCCTTTTTGAGTCAGTTTTGGTAGGTTAGCTTTATTTCTAATTTTTATTATTATTTCTTCTTTAACCTATGAGTTACTTAGAAGTGTGCTTTTAAATTTCTAAATATATAAAGTTATTTTTATCTTCTTTTGGTTTAATGTCAATCTTAACTGAATTAAAGAAGAGAACAGCCTGGCCGGTATGGCTCAGTGGTTGAGCATTGACCCATGAACTAAGAGGTGGCCAGTTCGATTCCAATCAGGATGCATGCCTGGGTTGCGGGCTCAATCCCCAGCAGGCGGTGTGCAGGAGGCAGTCAATTGATATTGATGTTTCTCTCTCATCAATGTTTCTCTATCTTGCTCCTTTCTCCCTTCCTCTCTCTAAAAATCAATAAAAACTTGTTTTTTTAAAAAGAAGAGAATGGCCGTAGCTAGTTTTGCTCAGTGGATAGAGCAGACCGACGGGTCCTGAGTTCAAGTCCAGTCAAGGGCATATACCTGGGTTGAAGGATCCTCCCCGGGCTGGGCCCTGGTCAGGGTGCGTGCAGGAGGCAACCAATTGATGTGTTTCTCTCACATTGATGTTTCTGTCTTTCCCTCTCTCTTCCACTCTCTCTACTAATCAGTGGAAAAATATCTTCAGGTGAGGATTAAAAATAATAATTTAAAAAAACAGAAGAGAACATAGTCTGCATAATACCCATTCATTGGTTTTGTTAAGACTTGCTTTATATTTATAAATTCAGTATGTGTTCAGTTTTTTTTAAACTGCTTAAAAAGGAAGTATATTTTCATCCATTAGGTGCAGGGTTCTGCACAGGCCAACCAAATCAAATTTGTTGGTCATTTTGTTCAAATCTTCTTAAATTTTTTATCTGTTTGACCATCACTTACTGAGAAATATATGTTAAAATTTCCTGCTTTTGCAGATTTATCAATTTTCCCCTATAACTGTATCTATGTACTTTCTCTCTGTATTCTATATTTATATACAGGGGTGGGCAAAAGTAGGTTTACTGTGCCACTGTGACATTCTTTTGAGATTATAAAGCTATTGTAATCATCATAACCTGCATGTCTTTTTCCATATAAACAACTGCAAATCTACATTTGCCACTGATGTATTTTGAGGCCATACTATTGAATGCATACTGATTTGGAATTATTATAGCATCTTTATTGATTAAATTACCACCACCACCACCACCCCGCCCCCCATTACCCTGGCCAGCATGACTCAGCAGTTAAGAGCATTGGCCTGCGCAGCAGAGGGTCACCAGTTCAATTCCTGGTCAAGGCCACATACCTGGGTTGCAGGTTCGGTACCCATTTCCAGTGGGGGCAAATATGGGAGGCAACCAACCGATGTTTCTCTCTCCCCCTCCCCTCCCCCTTCCACTCTCTCTGGAAAAAAAAAAAATCAATGGAAAAAATATTCTCACTCCTCCAGTGAAGATTAAAAAAAATTACCCCAAAAGTTAGTGGCAAACAATGATCATTTTATTATTGTCATGATTCTTTGGGCCAGAAATCTTAGCAGGGCAGAGCAGAGACCTTGTGTCTCTGATCCACAATGCCTGGGACCACAAATGTGATGATGACTTGAATAGATGAAGATGACTAGGATGTCTCAACAGGAGCTATGTGTCTGAGACCTCAGTTCTTCTCCAGGTGGTGTTTGCTAGAGCTGGACTGTCCAACATGGTTCCTTCACTCACATAACTGACAGTTGATGCTGGCTGTTTGCTGGTAGCTCATTGGGGCTATCAATCAGTGCCTACATGGGTCCTCTCCAACTGGCTTGGACTTCTCATAGCACGGTGGCTAGGTTCTGAGAGTGAGTATTCCAAAAGAGAGAATTCCAAGAGGCACAGGCAGAGCTGCAAGGCTTCTTATGACCAAGCCTCAGAAGTCCCAGAAAGTCACTCAATTGGTCAAGCAGGTCACTAAAGCCAGCCCAAATTCAAAGGGAGGAGAGAAAAAGATTCCACCTCTGAATGGCCACTTTGGAGACAAGTTACCACATACCACCCCTCTGATCCCAACAAATTCCTCCCACATGCAAAATACACTCACCCTCTCCTAAGACCTTCAAAAGTCTCATCTCATTATGGCATCAGCTTGATGTCCAGAATCTTGATATCTAATTCAGGTCCAAGTGTGATTGAGGTTCCTTAGATGCAGTTCATCAGGTACTGCTACTGGAGTACAGTTCCTTTTGATCTGAATAAAGAGACAAATTATCTGCTCCCACACACCCAACATACAAATGTATAATAGTGAGAATGACTCAGGATAACTACAATAGACACTCATTCAAAATATGAGGAAAAGGAGGCAGGAACAGGAGACACAAAGCGGTTATTGGTCCATAGAAATTCTGAAATTTAATCAGACACATGTCAACAGTTCCTTGATTATAACTGAGTCCTACTCTGCGAGTGATTTCCCAAAACTCTTGGCTCTACCCTCTAAGTTATCACTCCTTTCACATAAGAGATGGTTAACATCTGCAATGGAGTAGTCTTCTCAGTCTGCTTCCTGCCTGTAGATGATAAAAAGCCCAAAGGCCTATTTCCATTTTTTTACTGTTTCTGTTCCTTGTAATCCAAGCTAAAGCTGCCTCTGTTAGTACAATTTATTAAAAATCTTCTAGATTTCCTGAGTCTAATAGAGGGTTTATTCCAGTAGAGAGAGCCATGCCCAACTTCTCTATCTTAAGATCTGTGTGAGGCTACTCTAAGAAAACATCCTTAAGATCCTTAGAAGCCCTGTTGTGTAATAATAAGGGTCTAAGAAGTGTTCCCTTAAGATCTTTGGAATCTTCTTATGTATCTGAAGGGTTCTATGAAACACTGCCATAAATCTTTCTGAAGTCTTAACAAAGGAATTTACAGTTGCACCCTGGAGATATTTACTTTGAGGCCAAGCTATTATATTATTTATTAATTCTACTCTATTATAACCCTCTGAAGAATCTACTATACTTTATTCAGCTTTGGATGCACCTCCTTCCCCACCATTCCTACTCCAGCATCTAGCTCAGTATCATTATTAAATTAGACACTCAACTATATGAGTGATTTATCAAGATTGGGTTAACCTGATAAAATTATGTCCATTATGTTACCTAGAGTTCTGTGAGATGACCCTTTACTTCAGGCTGTTCCAAGGTTGATTCTTTGGCATTTCCTTTGATTCTGTGAATTACCCCTATTATCCTTATACTATCCCCCACCCCCACCTCACCCCACCCATTTCCTTTTTTTCTTAAATCAATTTGCAACCAAAGAAACCTAACTGATAAAAGCTGGAATAATTTGTAATTGTTCAGTAGATATTTGCTTATTGAGCAAAATATGAATAAATGCTCTGAAGCCAGTTAAATGTGCAATGAGAAGAAAAGGATACAGAAACAAAGAATACACTGAAACAGAAAGATATTGATTATACCTACAGTAGGTTGCTGTACCAATATAATTATCCTCATTTTGGACAACTTTCCCTATTGCTCTGGCTAAAGGCTTTGAAATCATCCTTAACTTCTCTCTTTCTTTGAAACATCAATTAAATTTATTAGTATATCCTGTTTGCTGTACTTTCAAAATATATGCAGACTCTAAACACTCTATCTTCACTGCTATCATCTGGTCCAAACTATTGTCATCTTTCATTCAGTTATTGCAATAACCTTTTAACCAGTCTCCTGGCTACCACCCCTGACTTTCTTCACTTTACTCTCAACCTTTAGGCCAGAATGATCTTGTTAAAATTTAGGTCAGCCCTAGCCAGTGTAGCTCAGTTGGTTGGGGCATCGACCCTTATGCCAAAAAGGTGGGGTTTGATTCTGGTTAGGGTATATACCCAGGTTGTAGGTTCAATCCTCAATGAGGGCACATTTGGGAGGCAACCAATCGATGTTTCTTTCTCTCCTCTCCTCTCCTCTCCTCTTCTCTCCTCTCTTCTTTTCTCTTTCTCTTTCTCTCTCTCTCTCTCTCTTTCTCTTTCTCTCTCTCTCTCCCCATTCCTGTCTCTAAAAAATCAAAAATAAAATAAAATGTAGGTCAGTTCATGTCACTCTGCTCCAAACCTTCCAATGGTTTCCTATCTCATTTAGAGCAAAAGCCAAGGCCTAAAATCCTTAATATGAACTATTAAAACCATATGTGATCTGTCTCCCTGTTACCTGCTGGCCTACAACTCCTACCTACAACTCCCTCACTTTCATAGTCTACTCCAGCCACACTGGCCTCCTTGGTACACCTTAAAATCAACTAGTATACTCCCCTCTCAGAACCTCTGTACTTACCATACTCTTTGCCAGAACACTTTCTTCACTCCCTTATAAAAAGCAGCCCCTTTGAGGTCATGCCTTATGTTAATAAGGAAGAAGTACAAACTGGATAATGTGTTTATAACTAGAATTTCTGTAACACTGGGTGATTTCAACAATGCATATGGGTGGCCCAGGAAGACCTTGGCTTCAAGTCCCTTCATCTCATTTCCAATGGTGTTCTCCATTCTACCTCAGCTAACCACCACCAAGGCCACAACCCAGATCTTATTATCACTAGAAACTGTTCCATCTCCAAAATAACTAATCTGCATATCCTGCTCTTGGACTTCTTTTACTAGCTTTCTTGTTTAATCACTCCTAGTATGATCTCACAGTGACTTTAGCTCACTGATCCTTTACTTTCATCTCCTACCCATTCCTTTTATTCCTTTTCCTTCTTATCCATGACTTCTTACTCTTACATTCCATGAATTACCATTTTGATAACTTTTTAACATCCTCTGAGCTCCATACCACTATCTCCAATTTGTCTACTAGTCATCTCCATTTAGATGTTCCACAGACACCTCAAATTGAACATGTCTAAAATTAAGATGTCTTCTCCCACCACCTATTTTACCTCCTGTGTTGGTGAATGGCACCAGTATGCAACCAAATGTCTCAAACAGCCATAACTCGCTTCCATCTCTTTCATTCCTCCCCACAATAATTAGGACCTGATCTTACTTCTGTAGTAACTCTAAAAAATCTATCTACATCTTTACAAACCTCTAGTTTGTTCTTCCACTCACCATTCTTTCTTCATAAGGAACTAACTGTTCTTTCTGCTTCTAATCTGATGCATTCTCTCCATTCTCCATACTGCATCCAAAGTAACCTAAAATGCAAATCCAATCATGGCACTCTTCACTTAAGAAAATTTTAGGAACCAGGGTAGCACAAGGGAGTACAGAGACTAAGCTTCCAGGACATTTTCTGGCCTCTCATTTCTCTGTACATTACTAACTTCATTCCCTCAGGTTACTTTGAGTCACTAGAAACATGGCCACCAATAGCTACAGAGTAATCCCAAAACCAAAGAAATAAAATTTGATGCATGTAAATAGATTCCTTATTATTCAAAATATTCACTGCCTCTCCCTGGTGAGTTTATATATTCCTGCCCAATTGATGTCAGGCTTGGCAATGTGACTTGCTTTAGCCAATGAAATGTAAGCAAATGACATATCCCACTTCTGAACAGAAGCTTTCAGAGCAATGGAATGATTCTACCATATTTCATTTTCCTCTACCACCAGGGGAATGTCTCAGATAGGAGCTGCATCTCTAGCCTGGGTCCTGGAACAGAGCCACATGATAGATATGCAGCATGAGCAAAAAATAAACTCTTGTTACTATAAACCCCTGAAATTGGGAGATTGTTATCACAATATAACTTAGCCTAATCTGACTTAAATAGTACATCCTAAGGAAAAACTCTGACTGGTCTGGTTTTGATCACATCCCCTGCTTAAAACCATTCAATGAGCCCTACTAGTGTGGCTCAGTTGGTTGGGCATCATTCTGGGTACCGAAAGGTTGCAGGTTCAATTCCCGCAGGGACATGTGCTCGACCTTGGGAGGTGGGGTTTAGGAAGCAGCCCTCTCTCCCTCTCCTTTCCTCTCTAAAAATCAATGAAAGTTTTTGTGAGGTTTTTCTTAAACCCTTTAATGATACTCATGTGCCCACTAGAGTCCAAATTCTAGCACAGTATAATAGCCCTTTCTGTATATTCCTACTTTCTTTCCAGCCTCATTTCCTGGGACTCCCTTTTATATTCTATATTTCAACCATACTAGATTATTTTAAAATTCCTTAACATGCCATGTTGGCTTTTACCTCCCATTTATTTGCACATCCTGTTCTTCATAGAACAGGAAGGAATGTTATTCCTCCAACCCTACCCCAATCCACTCAAAATATCTACACTTCCTTTAAAAATCCACTTAAATAGAACGTCCTCTGTGGAGGCTCATAAAAACCTGCCCCATTAAACACAATTGATTGTTCTTTTCTCAGTACACAGGTTTTTTAATATCCTCTATTAGCCTTTATCTTGCTATTCTGCAAAAATTTATGTGAATCTCTCCGACTATATTGTGACTTCTTTGAGAGAAAACACCATGTCTTACTCATTTTTGGAGCCTAAGAATCTAATGCAGTGCTTGGCAAATAATAGAGAATCAATATGTTTTTGAAAAGTGCTAACATACAAAGTCTTTTTCTAGTGCAGTTGGCTATAAAAAGATGAGATAGGCCCTCCTATCATGTTAAAAAATAATACAGAAAATCTAGCCTATTCAACTCATTTTGCTTCCCATTTTCTTTAAGAATAATCTTCCAAATTTGAAAGAGAACACAGATTAAGAAGTTAACCTATTAACAGAGCTTAAGAGGAAATTGAAGCTTGAGATAGAAGAAAAGATGACAAAAGAGCCTCCAGAAGCTTTTTAGTACGTTTAAATTTCTAGGACCATATAAATTATAGCTTAAGACACTGAGATCTCCATGACATCTCATGGAAAATATAAGAGAAGCTAGAAGATGAGAAACAAGAAAATTCTATTTCAATGTTCTCAATTTCAAATGAAAAAAGAGACCTGATTCTGGAAACTGTAGATTGAGTTCAACAAGAATTCCCAGCAAAATTCTGTCAGCCTATGGTAGTGTAGGGAAGGAGTGTAGAGAGCAACAGAAGCCAAAATGGATTCAATAAGAAACAAAAAAATCATGCTAACCTAATTTTACTTTTGCCAAAATTACTAGACTGAGAGATCAGAGAAATAACATAGAGTGGATCAGATAAAATTGGTTGAAATCAAGATAAAGTATCTTATGCTAGTTATGTAATAGAGAATTGGTTGACATCCTTAGATTATTATTTTTATTTTTATTTATTGATTTGAGAGAAAAAGAGAAACATCAATTTGTTGTTTCATTTATTTATGCATTCATTGGTTGCTTCCTGTATGTGCCCTAACTGGAGATCAAACCCACAACCTTGGCATATCAGAGGATGCTCTAACCAACTAAACTAGCTGGCCAGGTCCATCCTCAGATTATTAGTCAATGGCTTAATATCAATCTGGGTAGAAGGCTCTCACGTTGTCACAGGACTCTATTTGGCCTTACTTTAGTAAATATTATCAACACCTTGAAGATTTAAATGGTAGCTTATAGTTGTTGGTGGTAGAAACCTGGGAAGATTAGATAATACCATTGAAGACATAGTATTATAAAAAAATATCTGAACAAATAGAAACAATGGGCTGAAAATACAAAATGAAATTTATCAAGAATAAATGTAGCCCTGGCTGGTAGCTGGCTAGAGCATTATCCCAATGCATCAAGTTTATGAGTTCAATCACCAGTCAGGGCACATACAACAATCAAGCAACAAATACATAAATAAGTGGTACAACAAATCTCAATCTCTCTCTCTCTCTCTCTCAAAATCAATCCATAAAAATTTTCTAAAAAAAGTATACTACTAGTAAGAAATCAATTTTAATAGTAGCTGATGATTAGTTGAGAGTTTAGTTGGCTGTAAGCTAAAGATAAGCCTTTAGTGTAGTGTCAGCTTAAGAAACTTGCATAAATTCACTAGCCCTGGCCGGATAGCTCAGTTGGTTAGAGCGTCGTCCCGATATGCCAAGGTTGTGGGTTTGATCTCCAGTCAGGGCACATGTAAGAAGCAATCAATAAATGCATAAATAAATGGAACAACAAATCAATGTTTCTTTCTCTCTCCCCCTTCCTCTCTCTCTAAAATCAATCAATCAATAAAAATTTGAAATAAAACTAAAATGCTTGCATAAATTCAGGTAATAAAATAACAGTACAGTGACCTGAACAAAGAAGAAAATTGCTACAGATCACGCAACTCCTAAGAATTATAATTTGGCATATGACCTCTTACAAGTAACACTGATCACATATAATAAATCCAGAAGAGGACAAGTAGGTTGATGGTAATGGGGTTGGCAAACTAAATCATATGAACAATTAAGAGAATCAGAAATGATTTCCACAGAGCGAAGATCTGAGGTAGGAAAAGTAACATTTAGAGCTGTGTGTCTAAGTATTTGAACAATTGTTATATTGAAGAGCAGAAATTATGATTTTATACATTTTATACTTATTCCCCGTGCACACAGTTCCAAGTTTTACATATAATAAATGCTCAAGATCAACTCACCTGTTGATGACTAAGACAACAAAAACATTTGTCATACAGATCATTTGTCATGATCTGAATGACAACTCAACAAATGAATAATAAGTTTGGAGGAAGAAAACTTAAAAACCAAAGTAAAAACATTTAAAAGCCTTAACTGAACAAGCTATTTAGGATATCTGAGGCATATTACCCTAAATTTTAGAATTTCTTTCTTGTATCAGATGACATTCTTGGCCATACCAATAGTGATATTTTAGTCCCTTTTGTAAATATTTTCCTATAATAGAAAGTCATTGTACCCAGTGACCCCACTTCTAGGAATATACCCCAAGAAACTAGAAACACCAATCAGAAAGGATATATGCATCCCTATGTTCATAGCAGCACAATTTACAATAGATAAGATTTGGAAACAGCCTAAGTGCCCATCAGCAGGTGAGAGGATTAGAAAACTGTGGTACATCTACACAATAGAATACTACACTGAGGTAAAAAGGAAGAAACTCCTACCAGTTGCAACAGCATGGATGGACCTGGAGAGCATTATGCTAAGTGAAATAAGTCAGTCAGAGAAAGATAAATATCACATGATCTCACTCATTTGTGGAATATAATGAACAACATAAACTGATGAACAAAAACAGATCCAGAGACAGAGAAGCATCGATCAGACTGTCAAACCTCAGAGGGAAGG